ATTTGTCAGGTTGAGTTATAGACAGAGAGATAGAGAGAAAGGTATTCCTTCCATTGGTTCACTCCCCAAGTGGCCACAACAGCCGGCGCCGCACTGATCCGAAGCCAGGAGCCAGGTGCTTCCTCCTGGTCTCCCACGTGGGTGTAGGACCCAAGCACTTGGGCCATCCTCTACTGCCCTCCTGGGCCACAGCAGAGAGTTGGACTGGAAGAGGAGCAACTGGGACTAGAGCCCTTCGCCCATATGGGATGCTGGCTTCACAGGCAGAGGATTAACCAAGTAAGCCAAGGCACTGGCCCTTGGGTTGTTTTTGTTTTTGTTTTTGTTTTTAATAGATAAAATTATGTGATCTGCAAGCAGTGACAATTTAACTGTCTTTTTTCAATTTGGGTACCATTTATTTGTTTCTCTTGCCTAATTGCTTTAACTAAGAATTCTAGTATTGTGTGGAATAAAAGTGAAAAACGGCATCCTTGTGTTTTTCCAGATTTTTTCTTTGTTTTTTTTTTTTTTAAAAAAAAACTTTATTTATTTATTTGAAAATCAGAGTTACAGAGAGGGATAGGCGGAGAAGGAGAGAGAGAGAAAGAGAGAGACAGAAAGAGGTCTTCTATCACTGATTCACTCCCTAAATGGCTGCAATGACCAGAGTTGGTCCGATCTGAAGCCGGGAGCCTGAAGCTTCTTCCAAGTCTCCCACCAGGTGCAAGGCCCAAGGACTTGGGCCATCTTCCACTGCTTCCCCCAGCCATAGCAGAGAGCTGGATCAGAAGTGGAGCAGCTGGAACTCAAACTGGCAACCTTATGGGATGCCAGCACTGCAGGCAGCAGCTTTACCCGCAACGCCAGAAGTGCCAGCCCAGACTTTTTTCCTTAAAAGTCATTTATTTATTTGAAAGTCAGAGGGGAGAGAGAGAGAGAGAGAGAGAGAGAAAGAAAGAGAACTTCATCTTCTGGTTGACTCATCAGGTAGCTGCAACAGCCAGGACTGAATGTTAACAACATGTATTTTCAATGAACATTTTAGGACCCATTGTACACATGGATTTGTAATTTATTATCCACCAAAATAAACTTATATTTAAAGAAAAAACAAAAAAGAAAAATAGGACTATAATAAACTAAGAAGATTCTACAGCACAGGAAATGATGAACAAAGTGAAGAGACAACTTATTGAGTGGGAGAAATATTTGCAAGTTGTGTATCAGATAAATAATTAACATCCAGAATATTGAAGAACTCAACAAATTTGATAAAATCTGATCAAGAACTATTAAAGAATAGGAATAAACACATTTCAAAAGAAGAAATACAAATGACCAAAAAAAAATTTTAGCTCAACATCACTAGCCATCAGTGCAAATAAAAATGACAGCGAAGTGTCATCTCACTGTAGTAAGAATGTCTACTATAAAAGCATCAAGAAATACAAAATGCTCATAAGAATGTGAATAAAATGGAACCCTCTTACAGTGTTTGTGGGAATGCAAGTTAGTGCAGCCTTTATGGAAAATGGTATAGAGATTTCTCAAAAAATAAAAGTAGGAGGACAACCATAAGATGCAGCTTTCCACTGTGGGAACATATCCAAAGAAAAAACCTTTGCACATGAAATAGACTGTTGCAGCCCCCTGCTTATTGAATTACTATTCGTAACAGTAATGTCTCTGGGCGCAGTATCTAAGCACTCCCACATCATGTTGCATCTCTCCGACGCTCTATGTTTCTCTCACTGCTTTGTCTACATTTCGCAAAAGATAGTCCTGCTCTTTAAACAGAGGATGAGTTTCAGATTGGCAGCCTCAAGACAGACTGGCCTCCATGAAAAGGGGAAAAAGCAGGAACTACAGTAGAAAGCCCATGGGAGGGAGCTGCCATGCTTGTTCTGCAAATAGTGTCCTGCAGCTCTCAGATTCTCATGGCTACCTCACTAATGCATCTAACATAGGAAATCAACCTATTCCCTTAGTGTTTTACACAAATTCATCTATTTGGCAAAAGACTTAGGTCTATTTTATCCTTGGATCACAGCTGCTAATTGAGAGAAGGCAGAAATGTGGCAGAAGCAATGTGGTAATTGTTCCCTAGGGTGCTGAGTAGTAAAATAACCAAGCAGGGTATTGATGCTGACACTGACAACCAGAGCCTACACCCATAGGGGTGTAGATGGGCTGGGCTGTACAGATTGAGATGCAGTGATTACTGTTCTTGGAATGCAATGGTAAGTCTTTTGTTGCTGATTTGAAAAATGATAAGAGAATTGGAGAAAGATATTGTGTACTTGGAACGTGCTGGTTGTGACAAACGACTTAGATTTTCCCCTAAAGGTCTTGGGCCATGATTAGGAGAAAGAACAACTGCAGTCCTTTGTTCCCCAGGATTCCTGATGCAGGGAATGGGAAAATTTCGCCAGCTTGTGCTTTGCTGTGACATCATAGATGGCTAAAAGAAACTAAGTTATCTAAAATCTTTGGTCACATTTATGCCTTTTGCTAGATAATAAATAATTATCTTAAGTTCAATTCAGAAAGTGTTGAGGTCTACAAATATATGATAGTGAAAGATTGGAGGGTGGTAGTAGAAAGCTTTTCTGGGGGCCGGCACTGTGGCCCTGGGCACCAGTTTGAGACCCGGATGCTCTACTTCCAATTCAGCTCTCTGCTATGTCCTGGGAAGGCAGTGGAGGATGGCGCAAGTCCTTGGGCCCTGCACCCGTGTGGAAGACCTGGAGGAGGCTTCTGGCTCCTGGCTTTGGATCGATGATGCTTCCGCCATTGCGGCCAATTGGGGGAGTGAACCATTGGATGGAAGACCTCTCTCTCTCTCTCTCTTTCTCTCTCTCCCTCTCTCTCTCTGTCTCTGCCTCTCCTCTCTCTGTAACTCTGACTTTCAAATAAATGAATAAATCTTAGGAAAACAAAGCTTTTCTGAATGATGATAAGATAGAGCTCAGGCTGAGGTCTTAAAATTAGGGAATAAAAACACATTAGAGATGTTGTAGAATGTTCATGGAAGATAGTTTTATAATTATCTTAAAAAGGAAGGTGGGAAGTATGAAAAGGAGGAAAGAAAGAAATAGGAAGAAAGGAAAAAAGTAGGAAGGAAGAGGGAAAATGGAATAAACAAAATAAAAGTGAAGGAAGAAGGAGAGAAGGAAGGGAGGAATAAAAGAAGAATGGAAATAAATTTTTAATTAGGCTTTCTTTTGTGTAATTCTGAGCTACATGTTTTACTTATGCCACTTACTAATTCTTGAAATATCCCAAATTTTGAAAAGAAAAATCAGATTCAGGAAGATTAAATCATTTGTCCAAAGGAAATTCTGAATAAGAATGTGAATTCATTGATTTGTAGTTCACACTTTGTGTTTTATTACAGCAGAAATCTTTGTCTAGTTTATTTCCTCTTTGGAAATACTTTTACTTCATGAGAAATAACCAGAAATCAGTTGTAATGATATATATGATATAGATCATATATATATATAATATGTATATGTATACACACACACACATATATCAATGTGTTGAATCACTGGCTTTTTAAAATCCTATATGAGAGGGCTTTAAAATTTCATGAAAATTTAAATTATAAAAAATTGTGCATGAATTTCAAACATTTTTGCTCCAAAATCCATTTTCATGAATTTTTGGAGAACCCTTTTATCTGGTATTTGATACATAAAAACAAAAAGAAGTATTCGCTTTCCAAATGCTCAAATTGTATTAACAAAGATCACTATGTGTGAAGTTATAGAATGAGATTTTCATGAGGGCAGGGATCTCTATTTTGTTTACTTATTTATTTATTTATTTGACAGGTAGAGTTACAGACAGTGAGAGAGAGAGAGACAGAGAGAAAGGTCTTCCTTCCGTTGGTTCACTCCCCAAAAGGCCACTTCAGCCGGCGCTGCACTGGTCTGAAACCAGGAGCCAGGTTCTTCCTCCTGGTCTCCCATGCCAGTGCAGGGCCCAAGGACTTGGGTCATCCTCCACTGCCCTCCTGGGCCACAGCAGAGAGCTGGACTGGAAGAGGAGCAACTGGGACTAGAACCCGGTGCCCATATGGGATGCCAGCACCACAGGCGGAGGATTAACCAAGTGAGCCATGGCACCGGTCCCTACTTATGTATTTCTAATATCTAACAGAGTGGTTGGATTTTAGTATGAACCCAATGAGTGTTTGTTAAATTGAAATATTGCTTAGGAACATGAATGGGGAGCAAATGATTTGAAAGATTGGAAGATCTCTCCAAATCATAAGCAAAGACATTGAGGTTACATGACATGATTGCATGTTTAATGTGTATTCATTCAGGTTACATGACATGACTTTGTGTTCAGTGTGTGTTCATTGAGGTTACGTGACATGACTGCATGCTCACTGCACTACATGATGTCCCAGTTGATAAAACATTGAGATAAACCTGAGAGCCGGAAGTGCTGAGTGCGGGAGTGTTGAAAGAAAACAATTATCCTTAGCCTTGGCTTTACTTTCTGTTAGGCAATTTGGAATTTTAGCAGTTTGTAAGGAGCATTATAGGTTTTAAATGGAAGGTGTTGGATGAAGTGTAACTCCAGTACCCTGTTTCAGCACTCACTTTACTATTTATTCTATCTTCTCTTAATTTCACCAATCTGTACCTGTGTCTATAATGACATTCCTTCCAAACTCAGGACACTGAATTTATTTCTCAAACAACTCTGGAAAATAATCAAATAATCTCCAATTTCCTCTTCCCAGACCAACATGAGCGGATATCCCCCCCCCCATCAATAAAAAGTATAGCTTTTTTAAATCTCCTCTCTTAAATGAATTCATCTCTTAGTTTTTTAATTTCTCTCTTCAGATTCAAGTATTGGAGAGGAAAGGTAAACTATTGAAAAGAATAGAGCGATGTAGGTTATTTTTTTTTCTTTTCAGAAACACTAATTTTCTTCAGATACCATAGTTCTGGTTCCACAGAAGTCATAGTTGCATCACGTCAGAAACAGCAGATATGGGAATCCAAGAGCCTGAAGAGGTAAGTAAAGTTAACATCCCAATAAAGATGTTGCTAAATCAAGTGACCAACCTACTAGGTAGTGTATTCTATATCACAGCTCTATTTGCAATGCCAAGTAATACATATATTTTAATTGCCACTTGGCATGAAGGTGAACCTGCTCATGCATAAACTAAATAATTCATTTTATTTTTTCAATAACGTAAAAAGTGTATTCACTTTTGTGTGTGTATTTGAGATGCAGAGAGACAAAGAGAGAAAACGAAACAGAGACAGGCATACTAATCTCCTATCTCCTGCTTCATCCCCTAAATGGCTTCCACACCTAGGGATGAGCTAGGACAAAGATAGGAGCCATGAACTCCAACAAGGTCTCCCGTGTGATGGCAAAGATTTGAGTACTTGAGCAATTACATTCCACCTCCTAAGGTGTATGCTAGCAGAAAATGCCATTGGAAGTAGAGCCAGGACCTGAATTCACACACTCTGAAATGAGACGTGAGAATCCCAGGTGGCACCTCAACTGCTGTGTCAACTTCTCCCCACCAACCAATTCACTTGAAATAAAACCTACTCAGATTGGGTATCCTTTCCGTAATCTCTTTGCTTCCTCACCTACATCTATTTAGATTTAAAAATAGCTATTGACACTAAGTTGGTTCCGATATGTTTAATATTGATGACAGCTCACTTTTAAGACAAGAAAACCATACCACAGAGAGTATAAGAAAATTGCAGAAGGTAGCACAGTGGAATCCAAATCTCAATTGCTAGCCGCCTGATTCTGTACTGTCTTCCACTACCTAATATTATCAGTTTATATTATGACTTCTAAATTTCTTTACTATCAGTGCATCTTTATGCATAAATTTTTTGTAATACGTTAAATTCTCAAAAATGTAATTATTGGAAAAAGTTGGATGAGTATCTTCAAGGATTTTGATAACATTTTACTGAATTTCTTTGCATAAACTTATAACCAATTTATAACGTATTAGTGCATTTTTTGCTACTCACATGACTCACAGCACCACTGCTAACTTGATGAGTATAAATGATCTAAGTTTATTTTTAATTAATATTGAATTATTAAGTGAAATGAATTTTTTATTTGTTTTATTCATTCTTTCTCATTATGTAAACTATTTGCTTATGCCCAATTTCTTCTTTCACATTTTATTTTCTAATTTAAGGTGTAATAGCTTTTTAAAAATTCATATCACTATTTTAGAGTATTTTTAATTTTTATTTTTATTTGCTTTCTAATGTATCTGATGTGCTTTTGTTATAAATAAATATTTTGTATAGTTAAATTTTTGCTTCTTTTTGACTGTCAATACTATTTCATTTATTTCAAATTTACTTGTTGCATTTTCTATCCAGTTGTACACTTCTTCAAATCCTTTGAATTTTTGTCTTTTCTTAAGAGATATAAAAATTTTCAACAAAGAGTTGAAAATTTAATCTGATGTTTAATATTTATTAAAGATCTACTTATTACATTACTATTACATGCCAACTACAGTTCAGATGGCATTGAGATCTTTTATATATTGTAACATGTTATTAAACTCTTATTTACATAAATAAATAAGGTATGAACTTTTCTGGTCAGTGCTTTAAAGTTAGCCTGCTTCTAGTATTCTAATATGTCGAATATAATTGACATTATATTTTACAACATATCATTTTATTTTGTATTTCCCCTTGACTCAATGTTGTTTTACAATATTTTCAAATTTATAGGTAGAAGGACCTTTTAAATTTTATTACCATTAATATTTCATTTCTTTAGGATTAGGGAATATTGTTTATATCCCTTCTATGTTATGTTAATTGATATTTTTGTTGTGATTTGGTCAATACTCCTAGGCGTTTCATGTGCTTTAAAAAGAAAGTTTATATGATTTCTTTTTTTATGTATACATTATACATGTATTTTACATATGTATTTTTTTTTAAACTTTTATTTAATGAATATAAATTTCCAAAGTACAGCTTATGGATTACAATGGCTTCCCCCCCACAACGTCCCTCCCACCTGCAACCCTCCCCTTTCCCGCTCCCTCTCCCCTTCCATTCACATCAAGATTCATTTTCATTTCTCTTTATATATAGAAGATCAGTTTAGCATATATTAAGTAAAGATTTCAACAGTTTGCTCCCACACAGAAACATAAAGTGAAAAATACTGTTTGAGTACTAGTTATAGCATTAAATCTCAATGTACAGCACACTAAGGACAAAGATCCTACATGAGGAGTAAGTGCACAGTGACTCCTGTTGTTGACTTAACAAATTGACACTCTTGTTTATGGCATCAGTAATTAACCTAGGCTCTTGTCATGAGCTGCCAAGGCTATGGAAGCCCCCTGAGTTCACTGACTCTGATAATTTTTAGACAAGGCCATGGTCAAAGTGGAAGTTCTCTCCTCCCTTCAGAGAAAGGTACCTCCTGGATCTCACTCACAGAGATCTTTCATTTAGGTTTTTTTTTTTTTTTTTCCCCAGAGTGTCTTGGCTTTCCATGCCTGAAATACTCTCATGGGTTTTTCAGCTGCATCTGCATGCCTTAAGGGCTGATTCTGAGGCCAGAGTGCTGTTTAGGACATCTGCCATTCTATGGGTCTGCTGTGTATCTCACTTCCCATGTTGGATCATTCTCTCCTTTTTTTATTCTATCAGCTAGTATTTGCAGACACTATTCTTGTTTATGTGATCCCTTTGGTTCTTAGTCCTATCATTATGATCAATTGTGAACAGAAATTGATCACTGGGACTAGTGAGATGGCATTGGTACATGCCACCTTGATGGGATTGAATTGGAATCCCCTGGTATGTTTCTAACTCTACCGTTTGAGGTAAGTCAGCTTGAGCATGTCCCGAATTGCACATCTCTTCCCTCTCTTATTCCCACTCTTACATTTAACAGCAATCACTTTTCAGTTAAGTTTCAGCACTTAAGAAGAATTGTGTATTGATTACAGTATCCAACCAAAAGTTAGTTCAATAATACCTGTGAGACATACTTACTGATGTTTCCATTTGGATGTCCTAAATCCAGTTATATTTTTCTCTTCCCGATCTATTTTCAACAGAGGGATATTAAAATTATTCATTATTACTATATCTGCCTCTTTCTCCTTGTGATTTTTTATAGTATCTTTCTTATAAAGGTTGCACCTATAGTTTGGGAGGTATAATCACGTCTATTAAATAGCTGCCAATTTCATTATGAATTGTAGCTATCAGAATTAAAAGTGTCTTTTGTTGTTGTTTTGTGCTTATGTAATGTTCCTGATAATTTAGATTTGAATTTAATTTGACTTTTAATTTATTTGTTTTTGTTTATTTGAAAAGCAGAAGGATAGAGAGAGCAGAGACATATTGATAGAGAGAGAGAAAGAGTTAGTTTCCACCTGCTTATTCACTTTCCAAATGCCTACAACAGCTGAAGTTGGGTCAGACTGAAACCAAGAACCAGGAACTCAGTCTGGGTCTCCCACTTTCTGCCTCCCAGGGCACACATTAGCAGGCAGTTGGAATCAGAAGCAGAGCTGGCACCAAAACCCAGGCATTGATACTGGATGAAAGGTGATGGGAATAATTCCAGGTGCTTCAGAAAAATGCTTGTCATGAAAATAAAGATAATTAATCAAAATATTTTTATTTTTCTTGAATGTCCATATTGTTCCTGTTCAGAGGGGAGGCCAAGCACAATACATTTCCTAATTTACAATATAACTATATTCATATATACTGACTCAGTAGGATCTATCTCCCAAATCTCTGTTCAAGTATATGAACTCCTCTTCTTTGTGTAAATTTATGGCTATTTTATTGGGTGATACAGATATAGTTGGGCATTACTAATAATGTAATATTTAAATGATCATAGTAAAAATAATTAATAATTATATAATTAATAACTCCAATCTGGTCTCCCATGTGAGTGGCAGGGGCCCAAGTTCTCTGGCCATGTTCCCCTGCTTTTCGCTCATGGCTTACCATGGAGCTGGATCAAAAGTGGAGGAACCAGAGTTCTAAATGGCACCCTTATGGGATGCAGGTTTCGCAGGTGGCTGCTTAACTTTCAACAGCACAATGTCAGTCTCATAAATAAATCTTTAAAAAATTAAAAATATGAAAATAAAAATTCTCAGTAAACTACTTAGTAATTTGCACTTGACTGCTTTCATCTAGAATAATGCCTTTGAAGATAATTGGTGTAATATTTCTTTTCATTGCTAAATATTGCTGAATTATATGGTTACACTAAATGTTATTTATGTTAATAAATTGACAGACATTTGAATAGATTTGTGTTTTTTTGGTTATAGTTATTATTAATACTATCATGAACATGCACAGAAAATTCTTTGTGTGGATAGTCTTAACTTCTGTTTGGTAAATTGCTAGAGAGGATTTTTTTTTAATTTATTCACAGCCTGGTGAGTAGAACTAATAACTGAGCAGTGTACATTTCAAAATTATCAAAAGTGAATTTCAAATTTCTCAACAAAACATCACATATCTGAGCAGATAGTTTTTGTTACCTTGTTTAATCATTGCACAACATATTGAAGATCATAACTCATATGTATCATACATAGACACACATCTGAAACTGTCAAAGTGGTTTTCTAAACTGATTGAATGACTTTATATTTCTGCCATTATTACATGATGGTTTCAGTTTCTCCCCATCCTTGCTAGCACCTTGCAGTGTCAATAATTTTAATTATGACATTCTAGTGCATGTGAATCATCATTATATTGTATTTTTAATTTAATTTTTCTAATAAGTAACAGTATTGAGCATCTTTTCATGTTTATTATCCATTGAAATGGTTTATTAAAATGTCTATGCAAATTGCTTTTTTTTCAGATGAGTGTTACTCTTTATGTAATTATGTGTTATTTGTGTATTTTGGACACAAATCCCTTTCTAAAGTATATGTTTTGCAGATATATTTTCCTGTTTAGTTTACCTCAGGATTTTCATCATTTCAGTTTTAAAGTGGTTGATTTCTGGACTCCCAGTTCTGTCTACTGATCTAAAAGTATACAATAATTATATGCCATGCTGTCTTAATTATTGTATCTTTAGAATTGGCTCTGAAATCAGAAAGTATAAATCTTCCATATTTATTTTTCTTTTGAAATTATTTTAATTGTTCTTGTACCTCTCCATATAAATTCTATGTTCATCTTATTAATCTTTACAAGAAAAGTCTGTTGAGACTTTCTAAGAAATGTTTTTGAATTTATAATTAATTTAGTAGGAATTGCCTGTTAATTTTATTAAGTATTTTAACTCATGAACATGTATATTCTTCATTTATATAAATATTGGATTTCTCTCAATATTGTTGATCAAAAAGGACACAAATTGCAGTTATATAGGAAAAACAATGTTTGGTGGTTTTCTGGGTTTTTGCACTTCTCTTGTTAAAGTTAATACAAAATATTTCATGCTATGACAAACTGAATTGTTTTCTTAATTTTATTCCTGGAAAGTTTGTTGTTCATTACAGTAGGCAAGATAGTGAACCCCTAAAGATTCCCATGTTCTAAATCTTAGCATCTAGGGATATGTTAGATTACCTGAAAAAGGGAGTTAAGATGGCAAATGAGGTGCAGACAGCAGACTTAGCAGTTAAAATGCCAGTTAAGATGCCCGTATTCCATATCAGGGTACATGGTTCAATTTCCAATTCTGGCTCTGCCTCCTGACTCCAGCTTCCTGCTAATGCAGACCCTGGAAAACAATGGTGATGGCTTAACTAATTGGCGTCCCGCAAACCTTATGGAAGATCTGAAATGCCTTGTTGCCTCTGGGCTTCAGCCTCAGTCCAAACCAACGGAAATAAGCACACTCCCCAGGCCTACCTCTGCTTCCAGCCTCTTAAATAAACAAGAACAAAAAATTACAGATGCAATCAACTAACCTGACAATAGAGAAACTACTCTGCATTACAAAGTGGGCCTAATATAATAATAAAAGCTTTTAAGAGTAGGAAAGTAGGAGAGTCAAAGTAAGAGATGTGACTTCATTGACTTTTAACATGGAAGAAGCAGACCATGAACCAGTGAGTGTGAGAAGTCACCAGGAACTGGAAAAGGCAAGTAAAAAGTAACCTTCTTCCGTGGTACCTCCAGAAAGGAGTTCTGTGATATATTTAACTGCTTTTCTTTTTTTCTCTACAGGTCTTGGCAGAAAACCTCACCGTGGTCACTGAGTTCCTGTTGCTGGGTTTTTCGAGCCTTGGTGAAATTCAGCTTGCCCTCTTTGTGGTTTTTCTCATTCTCTATCTCCTCATTCTTAGTGGCAATGCCACTATTATCAGTGTCATCCACCTGGATCAGACCCTCCACACACCAATGTATTTCTTCCTTGGCATTCTATCAACATCTGAGACCTTCTACACCTTTGTCATCCTACCCAAAATGCTCGTCAATCTGCTGTCTGTGGCCAGAACAATCTCCTTTACCTGCTGTGCCATTCAAATGTTCTTCTTCCTGGGTTTTGCTATTACCAACTGCCTGCTGTTGGGTGTGATGGGCTATGACCGCTATGCTGCCATTTGTCACCCTCTGCATTACCCACTCCTTATGAGTTGGCACGTGTGTGGAAAATTGGCAGCTGCCTGTGGGATTGGAGGGTTTTTGGCTTCACTTACAGTGGTAAATTTAGTTTTTAGCCTTCCTTTCTGTAGTGCCAACAAGGTCAACCACTACTTCTGTGACATCTCCCCAGTCATTCGTCTGGCTTGTACCAATACAGACGTTCATGAATTTGTCATATTCATCTGCGGGGTCTGTGTACTTGTGGTTCCCTTTTTCTTTATCTGTGTTTCTTATCTCTGCATTCTGAGGACTATCCTGAAGATCCCCTCTGCTGAGGGCAAACGAAAAGCCTTTTCCACCTGTGCCTCTCACCTCACTGTGGTTATTGTTCACTATGGCTGTGCTTCCTTCATCTACCTGAGGCCTACAGCAAACTATGTGTCCAACAAAGACAGGCTGGTGACAGTAACATACACCATTGTCACTCCATTACTAAATCCCATGGTATACAGCCTCAGAAACAAAGATGTCCAACTTGCTATCCAAAAAATGTTGGGCAAGAAAGGATCTCTAAAACTATAGAATTGAAGGGCCAAGCATTGTGGCTCAGCAGGTTGAGTGACACTGGCATCCCATATGGGTACCCGCTGGAGTCCCTGTTGCTTCACTTCCCAACCAGCCCCTTACTACTGTGCCTGGGAAGGCAGTGGAAAATGGCCTGAGTGATTGGGACCCTGTCACCCATGTGGAAAACCCTGATGGAGTTCCAGGCTCCTGGTTGCAACCTGGCCCAGCTTCAGCTTTTATGGCCATTTGTGGAGTGAACAGTAGATGGAAGATCTCTCTCTCTCTCTCTCTCTCTCTCTCTCTGTCTCGCTCTCCCTGTCTCTCCCTCTTTCTGTGTAACTCTGCCTTTCAAATGAATAAATAAATCTTAAAACTATATAATTGAAATATGTTTTAGAGTCCCCAGTAAATAATACCCTTCTATATTACATGCATATTTTATCTGCAACAGATTCATTTGAAATAATAGTACTGTTTAAGATACTATGTATTTTTCTCCTCTTAAATTCTCTAAATTCAGTCTGTAAGATAATGCTTTTCACCTTCTCACATGGAATCTCAGGGATTGCCTCAAAATTAAACATCCAGTTCACTATAATAACCAGAAATCTAAATTCTAATTAATCTAAACTTCCCCCATTCCCTGGTGTTTGTCTTCAGATCAGGAAGCCTATACTGCAACCAATGGAGGTAGATTTATATGCGCTCTGTCAGGAACCACTCCTATTTACTTCACTGTCTGATCCCTCAGGAATTACGTTGGTATTAGTATTCCTACTTTAAGAAAAGCAGTATGTATGTGTAGGAATATAATATTTAATAAAAATGGTAAAAAAGTTCAATCTAAAAATAAATATTTTAAAAGAAAAACAAAACTGAAGCAAGAAAAGAAATTAAAGAAACCCAATTTGTACTTCAGTTTAAAAAGTAAGAATTGCAGTCCAGCGGGAAGTAGAGTTGGAGGACGGTGTTGCTTGCCTATTGCTGCCTTTCTGCTTGTGGCGTCCTCACGATTTTGTACATGCTGCACACTGTGACTTCTCACTGGGGAGCTTTCATGGTTTCTGGAATAATTCCCTCCCAAAACTTCAGCCATACTTCTTGTGATGTAGCTGAAGCTCCCTCTGACAACTTGGAAATATTCTTATTAATTCTAATAGTTTACCACTTTTCTGGGTCACATGTCTTTTAGAGGGGTTACTGGGAAATGTCCATTTTAAGTCATTCTTAAGTCATTTTAAGTCATTGTTTCTCCCACCTGGCTAATATCTGCTCCCCCATAAAAAAAAAACAAAAAACAAAACAAAACAAAAACAAAAACTGAACACCCTTGTAACTCATGGTCATTAGAAACGTAGACATCCTTCTCCATGCTCTGGGATTTCAGGATAATAGACACATTTCTACATTCAGATTTCTTAGGCATACTGAACTCCTGATCTACTCTGTCCCTTTATCTCCAAGTAGTGTGTAGCAAAATCTTGAAGTAGTTCTTTACACTTTGTAAAGCAAATCTCTCTCAAAGATAATATGTTTTGCTTATGTTTATTCAGTAACTTATTTTGGAGTGGTTGGCATATTTTCATCCCACAACATTTTTGTCTCAGTGGAAACTAATAACTAAAAGTGACCTTTTATCATTTGCCATTACCATGTGTTTTTTCTATAGAATATGGTATTTTGATGGGTTTTAATGAGGCTTATTCCTAAATATTGAATTCATAAAGTTACTGTCTTATAAAAAGCCAAATATCTGGCCATGGATAATTATATTAGTCACTCTAGGTGACATATCACAGTAGATAATTTTTGAAAATCTGTTGAAAGCTATGTATCCCAAACATGAAATTGTCTTCATGTATATAGGGATAATACTTACAACTGAAGGAGTCTAGAGAGTATCTAAAGTCCATCCTTTCTCTCAAACTCAACTGAACCATTAACTCTACTTTTATCATTTTGCCTTTAATTTTTATACTTTCAATATTTTGTTGTAAAGTTTCTTTTTTATGGAATGAAAAACTATATTCATATTTAACAGATTTTACATATTTTATAATTTGATTAAAATAGTGAAAAAATTAATTTATATCCCTGCCACTATGGCTTAAATATACTTCATGACTTTAACTTTACAATCAATACTGAATTTCAGAAAAACTCATCATGGGATAAACCAAATTCTATCCTTTCTAAGTTAGCAAATCCAATTCACCAGAGTATTGTTGTTTTATGACACATTCATGAAAAAGATTGGTAGAAGCTACTATGCATTCTAGAATTTAAGGCTTCGGAATGTAGCATGTGTAGGTATCAGGCCAATAATTTTATACTGCAGAAAAGAGTGGTAATTAAGCAGGAATCTCCAGAAATGGACTTTACACTAAACACCTTAGCCAGCTTCCAGAACAGTGCCTAACGTTTAGGTTCAACTCTAGTGTATGAAATATTTGTGCAGCATTCTGCCATTAATATAACTTTTGAAGATTTCTATCTTATTCATGGACCACTTCCTACTGTCCTCTTGGTTTGTATACCTCTTGAGTCTCTTTGTTACTACTAGAAACACGAAATATTTGGACATATCAAGGTTTATAATACTAATTAGGAGTACAATATTTCCATAGAAAAATAATTTATAGTGATAGAAGCATGACTTTGTTGGCCATCATCAAACTACAGTCATAATTACATAGCAGGATGGCAGAATATAACCCTGAATTTGACACACTGCATGTTGTATCCCTTAACTTAGAGATGTCAGGTCAGCTATGCAAGGGGGCTTGTCCTGTGGTGGGATAGGAACCAAAGACTTTCTCATTTCAAAATGTTGTAATAGCCTGTATCCATTGTATTATTATGTACACTAGAAAAATTTCCATCTATTTTTCCTATTTCATAAAGTATTTCTTGATTTCCATTACTCAGCACTCCATAGAAATTTAAGTCAAATTTATGCTTCTTTCCACACTCTGTTCAAAAGATTACTGTCTATATCTTATTTTTTTTACCAGGCTATCAGCAATGTGAAAGGAAGCATTTTAAACACTCACAAAAATGACTCCTCCCACTGTTATCTGTTTCCCTGGCACAGTAATAAGCATGTAGTAAATGACTAATAAATATTTCTTAATTTTAATTTAGCAAATGACTATTCTATCTCAGTAGAGAATATTACAATATAATAATATTATGCACTCTACAACTTATGATCAAAATGACAAGGCATAACACCAGTAATTTTCCTGCCCCAAGTCATAGTGGTGTGATAGGCCTGGAATAACTGCAACAGATATGCTCTGTTTACAGAGTGCAAAAAAATGTAATGTATGTGAGCAAAGTTGACATTTTGAGATTTGATTATCATTTTTAGCCCTTGTTTATACTCTTGAGGCACACTAGTTTTTTTTTTAATTACTTCTTATTGAGTTCTTTATTTAGTGAGGGATTAAGCTTGTGATTATAAAGAAATTGATTGTATGTCATCATAAAAATTAAAAGAAAAATAAGAAAAGGAGGAGGGAGAGTAGGAGTGAGTGAAGGAGGGAGGGTAGGGCAAGAAGTATCATTATGCTCTTAAAACTCTATTTATGAAATACATGAAATTTGTTCCCATTATATACATAAAGAAAAAAAAGAAAAATCATCAGAATAGAGTCCACAAATTTAAAAAAGAAAGAAAACAAATTCATGATTTTTAAATGTTCACTACATTCATTTTCATCATAATTTAACTATGACAAATTAATTTGTATACAACTTGTGTCACAGATATTCTACATCCATCAGGATGAATGATAAACGTATCCAACTGAACATATGTGAAGATGACAGTGAGCTGCATTGAATTAATCCACACTGGATTAAGAAAACATATATTTTATTATTAATCTTGGACCAGTGTAAGTGATTCAGTAAATAAATTTATAAGCTATTGGACTTTACATATACAATACTGAAACATAGCAATTTATTATTCCTAAAGAATGAAGTGGGAAGTAACATATTTTCATTTTGAAATGTGAAGTTACAGCACATCCCCCAACTCTTAGATCACCCCCCCCAAAAAAAAGAAGAAAAAGGTAGGAGATGAGGTACATGACAGTCTCCAGTCCATAGCCACTGCCACATTCAGTTGGGCATATGACGCTGCTCCTTGATTCAGACCCAGTCATATTTTCTGGGGATGACTGTTGATGGCTCCTTGCTCTAACCTGTGAGATTTTCTGCCACCTTTTGATCATCTTTCCTTATTCATAAGACATAGCCACTATTTGAAGCTCAAAGATTTTCTCAATCTGATACCTCCATTTAAAATAATTAGGGTACTAAAAGTCTCTTCAGGTTTATTATCATATTTCTTAACATAAGTTGACACATGTTTTTAAAAGGGCTTCTTACATTTAATTTATGGATCTAAACATTCCGTGCCTAAGACTGCTCCCTCGTATGGCTAGTTATTTCACATTTACTCAGCTGAAGATGCTGACCAGGAGCCTTGGCTTTTTGTAATATGGATTTTTCAAGGATTGCTTGAGCTTTCTCAAAATGTGGTGGCCAAGGTACAAAAGTGGGTGTTCTATGAAACAGGACATAGAGGCTGTCAAACCTTAAAAACAAGATTTTTTTCAGCTCATACAGTGGGGCCAGCACTGCGGCGTAGCAGGTAAAGCCATGGCCTACAGTGCCGGCATCCCATGTAGGCACTGGTTGAGTCCTGGCTGCTCCAATTCTAGACCAGCTCCCTGCCAATTTGCCTTGGAAAGCAGCAGAAGATGATCCAAGTGCTTAGGCCCCTGCTCAGATGTGGGAGACCCAAATAAAGCTCCTGGCTTCGGATTTTCCCAGCTTGGGCAGCTGTGGCCATTTGGGGAGTGAAACAGCAGATGAAAGATCTCACTCTATCTCTCCCTTTCTCTGTAACTCTGGCTTTCAAATAAATAAATCTTTAGGAAAAAAAAAAAAAAGAACTTCATCACAGCATCCTTTTTGCTTACACACATATTTGTCAAAACAGTCACTCAGCCTACCTCAATTAAAGGGAAAGGTTCTTATATATCATCTAAGTGAGAAAAAAAAAACCTAGAAAAATATGGGAGTACCTTTAATTTCCTGCATGCCTAGAAGGCAGATAAAGCCTGTGAATAGCTCTTCTCAGCAAACTATTCCCAAAAGATGCAGCCTTTGTCTCAATCTCTAACTTGAATTAAAGTTAAAACATCTATTCAAAGATCTTCAGTTAATAATTGAGGCTTTTCTTCTACTTTCCCATTCCTTCAGTCTCTCTGACAAGACACGTGAGCTCCTCAGAGAGACATTATGGGTGTTGAGCATTTACTCCATTTCCAACCAGAAAGAATCAATGTGCAGCATGACAGGGGGGAAAGCTGAAGGGCTTTGCTAAAACCTATACATGGGTACTTACACATTTTTCTTCACAGTCTAAATTTTTGTATTTGGTTAGTGAACAAATATTTACCAACCTCAAATTATATTCTGTAAACAAATATGTTTCCTATGTGTCTGAAAGTCTCATGCTGCCTCCACCAATCAAGTATGCTCTCATTTCTTTTTCATATTTTTCTTCTTCTTGTCTAGCTTTCAGGAATGGAAGTTTAAAGTGACTTAAAAAGGGTCTTGGGGCAGGCATTTGACCTTGCTGTTAATATGCCAACATTTTATATGCAAGTGTCAGGATTCAAGTACTAGCTCTGCTTCTGATTCCAGATTTCTGACAATGCACACTCTAGGATGCAATGAGTGATGGGTTTGGAAGTTGGGTCTCTGAAATCCAAGTGGGACACTTGGATTGAGTTTCTCGTTTTTGAGTTTGGCCTGGCTCAGCTCTAGCCATTGCAGGCATATGGGGAGTGGGCCAAGGAGTGGGGAACTCTGCTTGCCTATCTGTCTCTCTCTGCCTCTCAAGTAAAAATAGATAGATAAATACATTTTTAAAATATTTTTTCTGCAGTTTGAGAATAAAAGTCTAGAGGCATTAGATAGGAAAACTCGAAGGAAGTAGTTCCTCTGAAGTGTGTTTTAACAACTGCTACACAGAATACCTCCATGTCTTAATGAGTCTACAGAGAATTTCTAAGAGAAAGTCAACTAATTTCTGTGCATTAATAAAAAGGGCCTTCTCTTTGACCAATAAATTTTCCTAGTATTTTATTGTGGTTAACTTGCTCATCAGGGAAATAATGGACAAGTATTGAGTACAATGAGGTGATTAGCTCTTCATGGGAGTGGGATCACAATTACCAACCACCAAGGGAATGAGGCCATGGCTAACGTTAAAAGGAAAGACCACTGGTGATGCTCATTAAAACAGTATCTGCACTATCCATGGAGAAAAGGCACGGGTGACAATTTTCTGTGGAATAATATAGTTTTCATGTGTTTGTCTAGGGAGTTCCAGGAACTGGAATAAAAATCCTATAGTAGCAGGACAGAGAAGATATTTTTGGCTAATTTCACCTGAAACTTTCACAAAAGTTTCCAGGAATTGTCAGAGACTGAGGAAAGCTGCATGCCACAGGCACTAGAACTCCAATATGAAGAAACGTGAAATTTTTAGTTTTATTGAGGGACTTTGATTTCTTTATTTAAAAGAGCAGAGAAGTTGATAATGAAAGAAGAGAAGACTGATAGGTTAGAGTATAATTGAATAGCTATTGAATAATGCACCCTTTCTTTTTTTCAGGAATTCCAACTTTCTTAGCATACCTGGTCACCATTAATACTGGACATGGTCTGATAAGAGAAAAAAATGCCGCAAACAAGGAGAACAGGAAAGTGGAAGGTTAAAGATGAATGCAAGTGGGGACTTGTTCAATACAAATGCATGTTGTGAATTCCCTTTTTTATATGTTTCAATCAGGCAATTAAAAAAAGGATTTAAAATCTTTATTCCAGTCCTACTTCAAAATTTCTAAACCTTTCTCTATGCAAGCACAAATGGTAACAGCAATTTATTTACTTGAAAAATACTTTAAATTTCCAAATAATGTGTTTTTAAAATAAATTTAAAAAATTACCTAGTGAGATAGCAAAGGAGACTTTGTGATAATCAGAAATGAAGATAATAATAATTTTTATGGTTTTTCTGCATCTGCACTTAAAAAGTGCTGTCAGAAATTTTTAATCCCAAAATATTGAAGCAGAGGATTAATATTAAGATAGCAAACTAAGAAAATCCCTAAAAATAAATGCCATCCTCCTGGGACTTTTGGAAATGACTTAGAGGAGAATCTAACATTGTTGGGCATTTGTTTTTTCTAAACTTTTCAAGCTCTTAGCATATCCTGGGCACTATTGTATGTGTTGGTGATGCAGCTTCTGTTTTCTGGTTAATTATAAGTCATGTAGGTTAAGGTAAACTTAGAACATTAGTTATAAAACAAGATTCCAGTGATTACTAAAGAAAGCCATAGAGATAACATATAGCACAATTAGGAATTGCCAGAAAGATTCCATGAATATAGTTACTCTGAATTACAGTTGAATGAAAGCTAAAAAATAGGCATATTTCTAGAAGATAGTATGAAAAATGTCATGACTATAATTTCTCAATGATAACATGCAAGTAAAGAGAAATATAATGGCAATATGAGTAGAAATGTAGATTTAGGAAAGATGAAATATCTAGAAAATTTTATGGATGTTTGTTAGTCTTGTTAATATAGCAGGTCTTGTCCTGTAGGATTTTGCTGCCATTGTGGAAGATAGCTCAGAGTAGGAAGAAAGAATCGATGGGATGTGTTTAAAATGCTCTTGTAATAGTCTAGCAGAAAACCACATTCTCACAGAAGAGAAGGAGTTGATCCTAGAAGTATTTCGGAAGGAAAAGAACTTGGACATGGTGGATGAGAAATATTGTTGGTTTAAATTTGTCTTACAATTTCACTTGAACTGCTCATTACCTAATATATACATGAATCAAAGCATCATGTCGTTCCTCACTAATATGTAGATATTATGTCAATCAAAGATTAAGAAGCCAAATGCTTGGATGAATAAGAATATATTTGAGGCCGGCGCCATGGCTCAATAGGCTAATCCTCCGCCTTGTGGCGCCGGCACACTGGGTTCTAGTCCCGGTCGGGGCGCCGGATTCTGTCCCGGTTGCCCCTCTTCCAGGCCAGCTCTCTGCTGTGGCCAGGGAGTGCAGTGGAGGATGGCCCAAGTGCTTGGGCCCTGCACCCCATGGGAGACCAGGAGAAGCACCTGGCTCCTGGCTTCGGATCAGCGCAATGCAATGCGCCGGCCGCAGCGCGCTGGCCACGGCGGCCATTGGAGGGTGAACCAATGGCAAAAGGAAGACCTTTCTCTCTGTCTCTCTCTCTCTCACTGCCCACTCTGCCTGTCAAAAATAAAAAAAAAAAGAATATATTTGAAATATTTTATTGAAACGCAGAACCTATGTAATGGCATACAGATGGGCAGAATGTAGAATAAAATGAAAAAGTTTTGATTAAAAGAAATGTAAACTAATAGCAGCGATAATGACTGAGGGATATTAGAGAAAGTATCTAAACCTCTTTTTTAGGAACTCAGAAAGAGATCCCGGTGACAGTAGTCTGTTGGACCTCCAAGTCCAATGTTATCAAGAGTAAGACATGTAACAAAATGGATAATCATCATGTTGAAGTGAATGTTGAAGCAAAACTGAATTATTCCTACCATGTGTTTTCTGTAAGGAGAAATCAGGCTTAATATCCTAAAAGAGCTTGTATAGGGATCAAAAAGGTAATTTTATCTACAGTAGCATTAGATACAATACATTTTTTAAATGAATACCCACATGGAAATGGGCTTATTTAAGAATTTATAAAAGGAAACTCTCTGGAAGCAAAAACACAAAGTCAGGTCACAGGATGTTTCCCTAGGCCGGGAATGTATTGAATGTAAGTGGGAGGGGTGTGAATTCTTAGGCATTAGCACTTTTACTTACTGATACATGTGTCAGCAACCAGAGTAAAATTGAATCATTTAAACCCATAATCAATGTATGTAAAGGCTTTTTAAGGATTAGATTTCTAAAATGATTTCATAGAGAATACAAATCTGCGAAGTGGGAGCTTTTATTTCAACAAGTGACTTCATATTTCATATGGACACTTGTCCTCAAATTCACTACTAAAATTATCTGCCGAAAAATGGCAGCTAGGGTGCAAATCAACTTAGAATAAATTTCTAGTCAATTTACATTTTTTTCCTTCCCATTTTTTGTTCTTTCTCTTTCAAACAAGGTACCTTAACTACATTATGAGGGTGTCTCCCTGATTTCTGTTACAAAGGACTTGATCATACCAGCCTTATTTCTTGGGATCAACTTTCCATGGCCAATTCTTCCGCCATCATCGAATTCCTATTGATGGGTTTCTCCAGCCTTGGAGAGTTTCAGCTTGTCCTCTTTGCAGTCTTTCTCTGCCTCTATCTGATCATCTTGAGTGGAAACGTCACCATCATCTCAGTCATCTGCTTAGATCGCAGCCTACACACACCAATGTACTTCTTTCTAGGTATCCTCTCCACCTCTGAGATCTTCTACACACTTGTTATACTGCCCAAGATGCTTATCAACCTGTTCTCTGTACTGAGGACACTCTCCTTTGTGAGCTGTGCCACACAGATGTTCTTCTTTCTTGGTTTTGCTGTCAGCAATTGCTTGCTGCTGGGAGTGATGGGCTATGATCGCTATGCTGCCATCTGCCAGCCTTTGCGCTACCCAATTCTCATGAGCTGGAGAGCATGTGGACAACTGGCAGCAACTTGCATTGTTAGTGGTTTCCTCGTATCTCTGGTGGGAACAACAGTAGTCTTTAGCCTCCCTTTTTGTGGCTCCAACAACATCAACCACTACTTTTGTGATATTTCACCAGTCATCCGTCTTGCCTGTGCTGACACTTACATCAATGAACTGGTCATCTTCATCTGTGGGGTGCTGGTGCTTGTTTTGCCTTTGTTATTCATCTGTATCTCTTATGGTTTCATTGTCCACACCATCCTGAAGATCCCATCAGCTGAAGGCAAGAGAAAAGCCTTCTCCACCTGTGCCTCCCATCTCATTGTGGTCACTGTCCATTTCGGCTGTGCTTCCTCTGTCTACCTGCGACCCTCAGCCAAAAACACATCAGGCAAAGACAGGCTAGTGACAGTGACCTACACCATCATCACCCCACTGTTGAACCCCATGGTATATAGCCTCAGGAACAAAGATGTACAAGTAGCCATTAGGAAATTAATTGGGAAGGCTGGCTTTTCTTTCAAGACTTTGTAATCACAACACTTTTCAATAGTACATACACATTTTGGGAAATTGTTTCACCGTTTAAGTCATGAGGATATTTTGTCTATTTATTTTTCTTATTATATATACATGAGAGAGTGCTTTACATTGTTACAATTTGGCTTAAATTTTGTTCTATGTAATGCAGAGATAATCACATTTTCTTCTTGGAATTGTTTTTTCAGATTTGCAGAGATTAAAAAGAGTTTGACAATGGTGGACAACTTTCCTTTTCCTTTTTTTATTTTTCTAGATTTATATAGCTCTCAAAAATGGTCTTTGCAGCTATCATTTCCTCTATATTTTTCTTGTTTCTCAAAATTTCTAATTGTATTCTGTTTATTATGTTTATCCAGCCTAAAATTAGGTGTCTAAACCTGAAGGTGGCTTTGATTTAGCAATCTTACACGACAGGGAATGATGTTCCCCAGCAACTACATGACTTAAGATTGGACATGAACTAGGTCATGACTTTCATATGATTTCTCTCTGGATCTTGAAAATTAATATATGGGATATATGAATGATGTAATTTTCCCTCTTTATTTCACAAATGGTTTATTTTTATCTGTATCTATTTCTGTATGTCACTGTACCTTACAAATAAATTTTTTTATATTTTAAAATGTAAAACAACCTAGAATATAAGATTCTTATTAAACACTGCTTTGCACCTTTTTAGAAGAACTGTTTCTTTAAAGAATCTCCAAAGCAGGCACTTCTTTTTTTGATCACTCCTTGAAATCACTCCTTTATGTGACGTTGTAGATCTGTAACATGTGTTTTGCTTTGCCTTCTACATTGAATTCATTAAGGAGATGGAGTTGTCTGCATTCAAATTTATCATCAGACTATATGTATTAAGGAAAGAAAGACTTCGGTGGTCATTTGCTCCTACCTCTTACCTGTACATACGTCCCTTCCTAAGTCTCACAAGAGAAAAACAGTTCTCACTGACTGAGTATACAGGAATTCACAAATTGTATATTCCTGCTGTGCTGAGATCTTACCGCTGTTTTCCCTCAGATAAGCTGAAATTACCCCATGGGGTTTTCATCGTTCTGTTTCCTTTCAGTAAGACTCATCCTAGTTCACGGATGTTTGAGACACTTAGAATGAAAAGCTAAACCTTTTCTTTACTCAGGTGACCCAAATTTACGACTCATCACAACCTTGGGGGCAGCTTTTTAGATATACTGTAGCTTATCAATATTGTTTTGAAAGTGTAATAATTAAAATTGGAGTTTATATTTGATGTGTGGCATTTTCCCCAGTGTATGTTGTAGCTGCTTTCTCATCTGTTTACATTTAGATTTTAAACTCAATTGTCTAAATATCATAAATGATATTTTCTTATATTTTTAATTACCATCTCTGTTCTTATTTTCCTCCTTTCTTCAGTTTTTGCATTAAGCCTTTTTTTTATTTATTATTATTGTTGCTAGTTAAATAATCAAGAAACTTCAGTCACTACCTTTCTCCATAAGTAGAATATTGTTTACCTCCATTATTTTTGTTCTATTCCTTCTTTCCTCATAGGTTTGCAATCTTCCTTTAATAACTGAATATCCTTTTAGGAATGGAGGGTTTATTATACACATTTGTTTGCTATTTATCAAATGAATTCAGTTATAAATTTCTAGTTTTATTTTGTTAGTGAGTCACTGTAATGATATAGTTCTGTGTTTACAATTTCATTAGATTTTGTTATTGGCTTCTGAATTATGCCTCATAAAGCATTTTCAATTTAAATTAAAATTTTAGTGTGTGTATTGTAGGTATTATTCAATTTTATCAATTACATTTCATTAACCTAGTTTAGTATGTTATACCTTTATTTGTTTGGCTTGTGTATGACCTGTCATGATTTCATAGTGATGCACTAAAATGCTTTGCTGCATTTGTGTTTATTAACATTTCATTGCATTTCTAGCAATATTGATTATGAATGTTATTTTTATGGAATCTTAAAATATTGAACAATGTTTTATGTGTCATCATGTTTATTCAACCCTTAGACACACTAAAATGACAGCAGAGCTGTAGAAACACATAGGAGCCCTTCAAGAAAATAAACAGGAGATGATGACACAGGGGAGGTATTGAAATAATTACAGAAGAATAAAGGAGATGAAACCCTGGGACACTAAGCAGAATACAGAGGGAGCTTACTGCTGTAGCCTACAGGAAGATGTTTGAAAAAAAAAAAATAAAGTAGAGCATCCAACCTCAGCAGAGAGATAGGGAGAAAATGGCAGAGAAAACTCCACACAAATTAGGGAGGCACTGTGGATCTACGTGGACGGTGTCCACAAGAACAGCTCAGAATCCCAGGAGCCAAGAGCCTCAGCACCAGCTTTATAGAGTGAGGTGAGATCAGACTGCAGCAGCCTCAGACACTGGCAATAAAGCTGCAGGAAGAGCCTGGTGTGAGGACAGCTGGAGCCCTGGAGGGAACAGTGTATCTGCCAACCTAGAGGGAGAAAAAAGGGCAGGCTTCTCTCTCCCCAGCCACCCAGCACCGGCATCCTGTAACTAGCAGAGAGAGGACGGGCACCATCTTAGACACACGTAACAGCTGCACCAGCTCGTGTCTGGGCGCTCAGCAAGCAGCCAAGCAAAGACAACTGAGTCTGGCTGGGAGAACTGACAGGGAGCTGGGTGCTCCTGACTGAGAGCCTTATGTGCTGAGTCTGTGAAAACACTGTGGCTGCGTGGGAAAGAGCAGGGTGTGGCTGCACTTTGGGTAGTCACTGTGGGTGGCTCCACAGGCTCAGGGCTCCCTGATACCCTGGTGAAGGTCATTGCTGTGGGATCCGTATTCACACTGAGGACTGCATGGATCCTTTGTGTGGTTCTTGTGGCAGTGTGAAAGAATAGTATATCCACTGGGGCTAGTGACCAGGCATTGGTCTTCTTGTAAGAGAGCAGGTGAAGATGAGACTACATCAACAGAGCTGATTAATTTCCCCTTCAGACTAAAAGAGAAGAAGAAGAAGAGATTTACAATGCCCAATGTGGGTTTCTCTTTGGAAACTCTCTGTACCCTGGAGCACTGAACAGAGCTCCTGGCCACACTCATCACACACCTCATGGTATTCACTAAAAGAGCAGACACTCTACTAATCCACAGAGCCATAGCCCAAAGATAAAGCCATCACAGGGTTAAAAAACAAAAACATCTGCCATTCTATGAGTCTGCTGTGTATCCCACTTCAGATCTGGCTGAAGAGCCCATGAGAGTATTTTAGGCATGGAAAGCCAAGACACTCTGGCAAAAAAAAAAACAAAAAACAAAAAACAAAACAAAACAAAACAAAACAAAAACACAACAACAAACCACCACACACAAAAAAACAAAAACCTAAATGAAAGATCTCTGCAAGTGAGATCCCAGTGGAAAGAACAGGGCCATCAAAGAAGGAGGTACCTTTCTCTGAAGGGAGGAGAGAACTTCCACTTTGACTATTACCCTGTCGGAATAAGATCGAAGTCAGCGAACTCAAAAGGCCTCCATAGCCTTGGCAACTCATGACTAGAGCCTAGGGAGATTACTGACGCCATAAACAAGAGTGTCAAATTGTTAAGTCAACAGCAAGAGTCATTGTGTACTTACTTCTCATGTGGGATCTGTCCTTAGTGTGTTGTCCAATGTGAAGTAATGCTATAACTAGTACTGAAATAGTATTTTACATTTTATGTTTCTGTGTGGGTGCAAACTGACGAAATCTTTACTTAATATATACTGAATTGATCTTCTGTATATAAAGATAATTGAAAATGAATCTTGATGTGAATGGAATGGGAGAGGGAGCAGGAGATGGGAGGGGTGCAAGTGGGAGGGAAATTATGGGGGGGGCAATGTAATCCATAAACTGTACTTTGAAAATTTATATTTACTAAATAAAAACAAACAAACAAACAAACAAACAAAAACAAAAAAAGTATCTCCACAAATGCCCAAAAATAAATGTAGCAATTCAGGAAACAAGAATAAAGTAGACAAATAACACCTCCAAAGGAACAAACAACACTTCAGTACTAGAATGTGAAAATGAAGAGATTGAAGAAATGCCAGAAACAGAATTCAAAAGAGTGATCATATGATTTCTTAGACATAATCAGAAGCAAATCCACAAATTAAAGAAATCCATACATGACATAAATTAACATTTTTCCCATGTATTGAGATTTTAAAGAGAAATCAAAATGAAATATTGGAAATGAAGAATTCAGCAGATCAAATAAAAAATGTGAAGGAAAGCCTTAACAACAGACTTAGTGAGGCAGAAGAAAGGATATCCAAGTTAGAAGACAAATCTCCACCCAAGTCCTTGGGCCCCTGCACCCACATGGGAGACCTGGAGGAGGCTCCTGGCTCCAGGCTTCGGATCGGCACAGCTCCGGCTGTTGCAGCCAATTAGGGAGTGAATCATCAGATGGAAGGCCTCTCTCTCTCTGCCTTTCCTCTCTCTGTATAACTCTGATTTTCAAGTAAATAAATAAATCTTAAAAAAAAAAGAAGAGAAATCTCTGGAAAAATTTACAGTCAGACCAAAAAAAAAATTAGAAAACTAAAAAAAAAGTGTTGGAGATTTATGGGATACTACCAAATGACCCAACATACAGGTCTTAGGAGTTCCTAAAGGCATGGAAAGAAATAATGGATTAGAAGGCCTTTTAAGTGGAATAATAATAGAAAACTTCCCTAATTTATAGAAAGAAAGAAATGTCTAAGTGCAGGAAGCACATAAAATTCCTAATAGACATCACCACGACACGTTGTAGTCAAACTCTCCAAAGTAAAACATAAGAAAAGTTTCTAAAATGTGCACAAGAGAAATGTCAGATTACTTTCAGAGGATCTCCAATTAGACTCACAGTGGACTTCTCATCAGAAACCATACAGGCTAGGAGAGAATGGTGAGATATATTCTAAGTCTTAAAATAAAAAAACTGTCAACCCAGAATACTGTACACTCCAAAGCGCTTATTTATGAATGAAGGTGAAATAAAAAACTTCCCTAACAAACAGAAATTGAAAGAATTTGTTACCACTTGTCCAGCCTTACAAAAGATGCTTAAAGATGTGC